AAGAGGAGATATATGGATGTAGATAGAGAGGACCTGAAGGTAGGTGGAGTGAGGATGGAGGATGCAGAGGACAGAGAGATGGAGGAGGATGACTCACTGTGGAGACCCCTGAAGAGGGAACAGCCGAAGGAAGAAGAAAAATCTGCAATGTTGCATGTGACAATTAGTTCAAATGATCCTCTTCACATCAGAGCCTCCTCAGCCTTGTGATAAATGATGGCATTCCTTGTTTATTTTTTCATCATGAGATGGCATGAGAAAGTCTGACTCTTGTTTCTAAGAAGTCAGATATTTCCTGTAAATTTTTAAAGTTTTAATGATCGGAAAACTGAAGTCATTGTGTTTTGCCCTAACTCTACTGCTGTCACCGATCCACTTAATCTTAACTCTCCTCAGCCATATCTTAAGCAGTCTGTTACAAATCTTGGGATGGGTTTAGACTCAGACTTTAAGTTCAATAAACATATAAACTCTCTCTTCAAAAAAGTTTCTTCTAGTTAAGGCAGGTAGCTAAACTTAAGTCCGTGTGTCCAGATCTGACCTTGAAAAATTAGTCCATGTGTAGCATGAAGCTGCTCTCCTCTAACTATGACCCCTGACCCTTGGGTATCTTCCAGACTCACTATGAATTGTTTTCTTTAAAAGTTACATTTGACTTCATTCATTCATTCACAGTCCTTGAACACAGAGTCAGCTACATTCTGACTAATGTTTATCTTATTCTTTCTATGTTTCTAAGAAAGAAGAACAAATGATTAATGAAGTTTGTTTTATTTGATTAACAAGTGTGAACATGAATACTTTTGATTGTTGTTTTTAATCATTAAAATTAAATAACTGTTTATTATTGAACTCATATGCTTGCTGCGTCATTCAAGCCAAGGGCTACTATATAGTCAGCACTGGGGGCTAAGCACCCCTATAGGACAGATCCTAGAATCGCCCCTGGTCAGTAGTGAGGCAACTGATGAGAAGAGCTGGTGGGTGATAAGCAATCTCAGGCTTATCTAAAAGATGTAAAAAAAAGTTATTTTCTGATAACAAAGCAGAGTGAATATGTTTAAACATTTTGCAACATTTCACATGATTTCATAATAATTCTTGAAAATTATATTCATCATCTAATCATTTTTCCTGCAATATTGGAATTGCATTTTCCACATTGTGTTTGTGTGTGATTATAAAGTTTGTAGCATAATGGTGCAGTGCAAATAAAGTTTAAGAAACAGGAATTAATTTAATTTTAATTGTTAGGATTCCCAGAGTACTGTATATTTTGTCTGAAATTAACTGGAAGAGAAGTGCTGACAAGCAGTCTAACAACGAAACAAATGACACACTTGTATTGATTACATTTATAACTAACGTAAAATGTTGCTATGACCAAAAAGAAACCCAGTAATTATCCTATGACTGAGTCATTTTTGTATTATTGTATACAGTTTTCATTTTGCTAATAAAAACAACAGAGTTGTATATTTGTATTAAAATAAATTTGTCAGTGTCTGTTCAAGTGATCACTGATCACCTAAAGCTAACGGGATTCGCAGCAACTTTTTATTGTATTTATTTTTAATGATTTGCTTACCCCTATGTTGGACCTCATTTCCAATATACTGATGATAAATATATGGAGTATCCTGCATAGAGGTTAATTAACTGATCTGAGTTAGTGGGGGAGTGGTGGCGCAGAGATTAGAGAAGATGGGCCTGTGATCGGAAAGTCGCAGGTTCAACTCCCAGTACCGTCAACATCAAATTGTGGGTAGAAAGGTGAAACACCCACATTTCCACCCTCATTCGCCCCACCCTGGGCCCCCTGAGCAAGGCCCTTAACACCCAACATCTGCTCCCTAAAACAGGTCTCTCTTGAAAATGAGTTCTCGTGACTCACTGAGACTACCTGTATAAATAAAGTGTAAATGAAAAATGAGTTAAAATAAATCCCAGTATATTAAAATTGTTCACTTCTCAACCTCAAACAACAGTTACTCCTTTATTAAAAATTATTTAAGGACACATTAACTGTTATATGAATACAAATGTGCTCATTTTGTTTCTAAATTTGTTTTTTTTTATTTGACCAAACTTATTGACATTGAACAAGTAAAAACTGTCAGAAAGAAGTCCTGAAATAATAAAATAGTATGACAGCTTGGCAGAAAAAAAAAAAAAAAATCGGGGAAGGTTAAACACTAAACACATGACTGTAGCACAAAAAAAAAATCTCACATTCATTAAACAAATAAACTCATAAACTCATATTCATCCCACTTTGTGAGAGCTTTAAGGCAGAGAAGCAGAGCGCGGGTTTTTTCGCCCTCCTCCTTGTCTGCCAGGCAGACACACCTTTTTTTTCTTCTCGGTGGTCCTCCAGCGTTTCTTACCTTCTTTGCCGCCTCTCTCAGCCTCGTTGTCTGGCTGTGAACTCTCAACCCAGCTGCTGCTTGGGAAATGTCATACAGGCCCGTGCTGCAGTAGAGGCGGAGGAGGAGGGGGGCGATAAGAGCAAGAAAAAACAGCATTTTATATTTTATTTCATTTTTTTTACCGCTGGCAGCGCATCATTTACTCGAGTCTCCGCCGTGCAAGTGCCACATCCCACTACCAGCAGCAGCCGCAGATACTAACCGCAGTCTTGATGCTCATTTCGCATTAAGGCTAATATCTATCTATCTATCTATCTATATATATATATATAGATAGATATATATATAGATGTATATATATAGATATAAATCCGTGCCAGACATGTGAGTAGCAAACGATCGCTGTCGTTCTCCACTTTGCCTGCCATGTATCCTGTCTCTAGTAAGAAATGCTCATTGAACCGTGTTTAATGTCGAGCTGCTCAGAGGGTCTGTTTATTGAGGGGGGGTCTCGGAGTCCGTTGGCTAATTGAGCATGAGAAGGTAAAAGGTGCGATTTTTCAGCTGTTAGCGGCTCATAAAGCCCGTTCACTGTGCGGCTGTGTGTTTTTAAAGCAGCTGGGATGGTTTGCTGCCTCCAGCCAGTCAGATGTGGAGGCCCAGTTACAGCACACACACACACTGCGGTGGTGCTGATGGGAGATCTGGAGCAGGAGTCCCACAGATGCTCCAGTCGACCCAACAAACCTTTGGATTGTCCGGCTGTGTGTGCTCACTACGAGCTTTTTGCACTGACTGTTTTCACTGGTGTCCACGTGCACAGCTGGAGGACACTTTTTGTTTGTGGTTTTCCTGAGACTTCCCAGAACTATATATATATATATATATATATGGTGGGGATTGAGACCATGCATTGCTTATTTAAGTTTTGGTGCTTTTATAGATGCTCTTTCTTCATAAACGTTAAAGTACTGGCAGTTTTTTTATTTAGTTTTACCTCATTTAAGAAAGGATAAATAACTTTGTGCCTGCTCACTACTGAGAGTGGAAATTTGTTTTGTGGGAACTTGTAACAAAACTCTCAGAAATCAAGGATTCAAGGTTCTTTATTGTCATTCGTGTCTCATGTGATACATGAGGTGGAACAGAATTGTGTACACAGGGTCCCAGTTACATCCAACAACAGGAATAATATAAATTGTAAAAGAAACAGTAATAAGGAAGATGTAAACTAAAAAGAAACAATACGCCGAGCAACAGCAGCACAAACGAGTCTGTGCGAGTAGATGAGTGCAAATGAATACAGCAGCATGAAATAATCAGCAGCATGGATAATCAGCAGCACATATCAATCAAAGTGGCATTACAGTGATTTTTTGTTTTTTAAATCAAGTGTTCGGTTTGATATCTTGTGGCTTTAAGGTGTGTATTGACGTTGGGAACCTCCCGCCATCTTCATCAGCTAATTGAAGAGCTGGTGAAAATGGTGAGGAGTCTTAGATTAATATATTATAAATAAATGCCTTACAGCCTTAGGTGCTCAGGAGTTCTTGCTGCTTATTGTCCATGATAACCTGAACTGAAATCTTAAGGTGTGTATTGGTGCTGCTCGTACTTCTCACCATCTTCACCAGCTTATTGAATATGTGATGAAGATGGTGAGAAGTACCAGATGAACAAGTTTTAAATAGGTGCTTCACAACTAATAAACGCTCAAAATTCTTACTGCTTATTGTCTCTGAAGGATTTCAATTTAAATATTAAGGGTTTCAAGTTTGCGTTGATGCTGGTACTTCTCACCATTTACATATCAGCTGATGTAAATGGTGAGAAGTACCCAATTAATTGTTTACTAATAGGTCCATTTGTACCAGTAATGAGAGCTCAAGAGTTCTTAGTGTCCCTGAAAAATGAGAGTTTTGGTTTTCATATATGTATGATGGTTCTTCTCACCGTCCTAATCCAATAAACCAGGATCTAAGAAAGATGGTGAGAAGTACCAGGTTGTAATTTTTTAAATAGGTTCTTCAGCCAGTAACACATCCATGTGCTCAGGATTGTTACTGCTTACTAATGTAAATACTTGGGTTTTTCTGTTTGTATTGTTGCTGGTACTTCTCACCATCTTCACCAACTTATTAAAGAACTGATAAGAAAAGTGAGAAGTCCCAGATAAAATATTTACAGTAGAAACCTACACGCTGGTCCCTTCTCACTATTTTCATCAGAGAGTATGCAGATGGTGAGAAGTTCCGGACTTGATATTTACTTTCAGGTTCTGCACAGTAAATCTTTGGTGTTCGTTAAAGAACAAATGTGATGACTTTAAGGTTTGTTGTGATGCTGGGACTTCTCACCATCTTCATCAGCTTTTTGATTATCTGTTGAAGATGGTGAGAAATACATTTATAATATTGTGGTTTTTTTTTTCCTATTAATAATTTAATGTTTTTGCAAATATAGACAAGATTTGACAGGAAGTTGTCAAAATAAAAGTGTGGCTCGTTTAAAATTCCCTTTTCCTGACATTTTAATAATAACAATCAAATTTATTTTTGCAGCTTGTTGTGGTGGGATTATGGATCTGTAAATCCTGCGTTTAAACCTGACTGTTCTTCGTGTTTCCAGGGGGCAGAACGTTCATCTTCCCTCGAAGATGTCAGTCCAGCGAGCTAACCAGCTTGTGAAGCAGCTGCCCAGTAGACGATCCTGGGACTGAGACGTGGATCCCTTCACACTGATGGCCTGGACTGAGTAAGAAGTTTAAGAACATTAGCGCCTCAAAGTGCACGTTTTGTGTTGCTTTTGTCATTGTTGCTCCTTTACGTAAACCTAGAGCTTAAAGTTGAGGGTTTAGCGAGGAGCTGAGTGAGAACTTTGTTCTCGACAGGTTTCAGCTGGCCTGCTGAAGCTATGGGGAGCTGCTGGAGCTGTCTCTACAGAGAACCCATCCGAGACAACCATCTCACAAAATTTAAGGTCAATAAACCACAAATTAATCTGTCCATTGCATTTAATAAAGAACTGGGTATATTTGGTAAAATTTATATATTAAAAAGTACGATGATCTGCTAACTGTGCGCCTAATATTTGATAGACGTTGAAAATTAAGGCATTTATAGTCTTTTAGAGCTTGATGCCATCTATTTGCTAAAATTAATAGAGAAGGACATTTTGATGTTGTCACGTGTAAAGAAAAACAAAAACACAACTTTCAACTGATCCGGTTGATTTTCACAGATCAAGTCCTAAAAATATAAATAAAGATGAATATTTCTGCTGCAATGATGCAGAGCTGTTAAACACTCTGAAAAATTTAACATGTTGAAAAATCTTGTTAAGGCTTTAATCATCTACCATATTTTCCGGTTTATAAGTTGCTGTTTTTTTTCATAGTTTGGCCAGTCCTGCCACATATGGTCTGAAGCGACTTACATAATTTTTTTTTTTTCTTTCTCTATTCATGAGCAGTTTTTGACTGACACGTTAAATGTTCGTTCATACTGACATGTCTGGCTGGCTCCTGCCGGGTGCATTACCTCCGCGGCGGTGCGCCGCGACCAGTTCTGTGTCGGTCTGGAAGAGTCTGTGGACAATAATGGCTATACAGCGTCCCCCTGCCTGCACCTCGCCGCGTTCCGGGGCCGCAGATCACGCGTCTTGCTGCTCCCTTCCTCCCCGCTCTGGCGGTGGAGGGACGGGGCCCCCTCGCCCCCGGCACGGTTGGCGACCAGGACGGACTGTTCTCAGTGCGACGTGTTCATTTATTAAGGAAAAGTTAAACTGAGACACACTTTTGCTATAATGTCGAGCCAAAGAACTGCAACAGCAAGTCCTCCCATGCGCGCTGTCGTGGCTGCCAATCGATTTTTGGCACGGTACTGGCCCACGTTTCTCGGGGGTCAGTGGTGACGTATAATAAATGCGCATTCTACTCCGAAGCGACTTGTATATGTTTTATTCCTCTTCATGAGGCATTTTTTTGACTGTTGCGACCTTTACTCTGGAGTGACCTGTAGTGAGGAAAATACGGTATATAATAATATTTATATATCTATACATTACATCTATATAATATAATTTTTTAAAAATGTTATCTTTACGTGTTCCTAATATTTTTATTTATTTATTTATTTACCTAAAATTTAGTCTGGATCAGTAGTTCATTCTTTCAAAAGATCTTTTAATAGTTTGTATTTAGACTTTAGCTGCTTTTTTACTGAATATCCACGACGTTCTCGTACCCGACTACGACCACATATTGTGCAGGGTGAGCTAAAAGAAGAAAGTGTAAAAGTTGTTTGGCACAGTTTGGCAGGCATAAAATAGTATTTTAGTACCAAAAATGGAAAAGAAAGAACAAGCAAAACATTTTTTCTTTGAAAGTCGAAGCGGTTCGTTACAAAACAAAATGAAGAACACAGCAGCCGCTCTTTGTTCCAGGTCATCAACGTGGACGATGAGGGCAACGAGCTGGGCTCTGGGATCATGGAGCTCACCCAGACCGAGCTCATACTTCACACACGGAAGAGAGACGCCATCCGGTGGCCGTATCTCTGCCTGCGACGCTACGGCTACGACTCCAACCTGTTTTCTTTTGAGAGTGGACGCCGCTGTCAGACAGGGCAGGGTGAGGCACAATGCATAAATATCTATGTTGTACTTTTATCTTAAGACAAATTATTCATGTTTTCCTATAGAATAACTAACTCAGTGGACCTTTGATTCCTACAAGCATCTCTTTATAGAATAACACATATTTTATCTTCTATGTCATTTATCTTTATGTGTCATAATTTAGTTTTTTTCTTCATTTGTGTTATTTTTTTATAGGAATCTTTGCATTCAAATGCTCCCGGGCAGAGGAAATCTTCAACCTGCTCCAGGAGCTGATGCAATGTAACAGCATCAACGTGGTGGAGGAGTCCATGATGATGAGTCGCAGTGGTCACACACCAGAAATGGACATGTCTCGCACGCCGCAGACTCCCAACAGTGAGTCACGCCAACACACACACAAAGAATAAGGAGGAATGCAGTCGTACATTTAATAGAATTATTTATAGACAGTAGGGATGCACAATATTGGATTTTTGGCTGATATCTGGTATGTTAAAACTTATTTGGCCGATAACCGATACCAATATTTTTTTTATATATTTTCCTTTGTCCGAACATAGCCCTCTTATTTGGGGTTATTTTCTACAAAAATGGTGTAACAGCTGTAAGAGCTGGTGACATATATTCAGTAACAGCCATAATAATAGCACTTTACCTTATATTAAATGAACAGTGTTAAATGTTATTTATTAGCATTAGTCACCTGTGATGCTGTCTCACTTGTGGAGGCTTGTTCCAGGTTCCTAGCTGCAGTGTGGGATCCTCTGCACTCCTGTGCATGAAGGACAGACTTTTTAAGTTCAAAGTTTTTGTCTGTCCATTGTGCCGTAATACTTATCATGCTAACGGGGCTAACACTTGACGTCCAAATGTCTGTGGTAAAACTCACCCAAGTGCTATTGGCTATTAGCTTCTCAATGACGTAGGAAATGACGGCTTGTAACTTGGGTAAGGTTACGTCGGAAAAATATATTTGACTGGGGACGATGTAGCGAGGCTCAATGTAGTCCAAAAATCTTCGGAATCTGACATCCTCAACGTATAAAAACCTTCCACACCGCTGACATTTTGACTTCTTCCTCTCTGCCGTGATCATATCAGGTAGGCGCGCGTGACTGCAGGCATCCTTGTCACTGTGTTGTCATACAAAAACAGCATCTTTTATATCGGTGAGTTATTTTGATGGAATGGTCAAAATCCAATAGTGAACTTTAACGCTAATATCGGCCGATACCGATACCATGCCGAGAATATCGTGCATCCTTAATAGACAGGTTTAATGTCCTGTTCACAACAGCTTTAGTGTGACCAAAAATGGACGACTTTGAGTGCATCAGCTCACTCCTGGGATTAAAAGCATTTACCATTGTCCTATATTTATTTATTTTCCATATTTCTACACCCTGGCTCTCACACTTTATTCTTCCCATGTTTACAGATTTTCCCGAGCTCTTACAGAAATATCTGTGACATACTAGGGCGGCTGTGGCTGAGTGGTTAGAACAGTCGTCCTCCAATGCAAGAGTTGGGGGTTCGAATCCACCAGCAGTCACATGTTGAAGTGTCCCTGGGCAAGACACTGAACCCCTCGTTGCCTCCGATGTGTGTCCTATCGGTGTATGAATGTGATAAAGCACTGATTAGTCTCATTAGAATGATTTGTTCACAGCTTTGTAGAGATCTAGTAAAGTGCTGTATGAATGGGTAAATGAGGACACAGATTGTAGTGTAAAGCACTTTGAGTATCTCGATAAGATAGAAAGGCGCTATATAAGTACAGCCCATTTACCATTTACCATACTTGGTGCAGGATTACAGCACCAAAACACTCCTGTAGCTTGATTTTAGAGCCTTTTTCTTCGCAGCAGATTTTAGAGGAGGGTGTGTGCGTTTTGGGAATTATGCTTACAAATTGGACATAACATATTTTAGAGCAAATAAAACAAAAGAACTGTCCCTTTTCTGCAGCTCAGCCAGTAATAGTTGGCAATGATTCATCCTTCAAAAACAATCTGTCCTTGAGTTACAAGTTTTACTGGTTCAAGTTAAATAAAACTCCACAAATGCTCAACCAGTATAACAATGAGTCGTGGTGGTTAACACGTCAGTTGCACTCATTTAGTCATTTTTCTATCTTGCATTTTGACTTCACCTTCTTCTGTGTTTTCTTTACATTTTTAGGGGCTAACATAAAGAAATATAGCTTATATTCAAGCTTATAGCATATATACATATATACATATATA